AATCATATCTTGCAATTATTAGAACAATCATATCTTGCAATTATTAGAACAATCATATCTTGCAATTATTAGAACAATCATATCTTGACAATATTGGACTTATACAACAGACCATGCGAAACAGAGAAGAAAATCTTAAAGAGATAGTTAACAAAATTGCATTTTTTAGAACAATCATATCTTGCAATTATTAGAACAATCATATCTCGACAATATTGGGATAATATAACAGACCATGCGAAACAGAGAAGAAAATCTTAAAGAGATAGTTAACAAAATTGTGCGATCAATTACAATTATTAGAACAATATCGTTTTACAAAAGCTGCCCTTTAAACTTGTTAAAAACTCGTTTTTAACTAGAATGCAATTTTGTTGCAATTTCTGTAAACAAAGGATCACTCTCAATTCTGTCAACTGTCTCTTTATTTCTATCTGTTCACAGGGACTGTAAGCTTGATGATTATTTTGAAACAGTTTTTAATCTAAATATATATAAATAGGAATGTAGGAAAGTAGGAATGTAATATAAAATGAATCTACGATATTTATAAATTTAGAAGAAATCCAAGGTATTATACAGTGATAACCAGAAAACTCTGAAATAGAAAGTGGAATTTATAGCATTACATAAGTCTATTCGATGTACTTAAAAAGTCAATTGTTTTACTATAATCACTAATTAAAATGTCTGTTTACACTACGCAATTGCATAGTTTGAGTCTAAAAGTCGTCCTCCTGTTTCAGAGTTTTCTGGTTCTATACTGTATCTTTTCCATGTTATAGATTGAATGAATTAAATATGTGCTTTAATCAAGTGTGGGGGGGGGGGAAATTCTGTTTAAATGATTAAATGAAGATGTTAAAAATAAAGGATTGAAAACATGATTATTTTTATGAATAGATTAATAATTAACTTTTTTAATTCTGATTTACTGAATAAGTTTTTTCTTAAACGCAATAAATCAAAATTTATGATTAATTTTGTAATCCAGCTTTTTAGCTTTTTATTCATGATTTTAGATTCTGATTTTACATTTTACATTTCTTTAAACTTTTTTATTATTTTCATATTTTTATTGGGAACAATTGTTCGTTCACAGGAACGAACGGAACAAAACAAATGATTTAAAAAAAGTTGGAACACTCCCAGCCCTAGTTCCATGTATTAGTATATATTTATTAGTTTCCATATTTTGGCAAAGAGGGATGTTTATGCATGAAACCCTATAGTTCCATTGTCCTAGAAATATTTATTAAATATTAAGATATTCCTGTAGTATAAAAAATCTGAAATAGAATTGATTTTCGCCTAAAAAATTATTATTGAAGAACGCAAATGTTTTAGATTTCTAATTTATAAAAGGATAGATATTCTTTTCTCATACAGTGACAGTCAGAAAACTCTGGAATAGAAAGACGACTTTTAGACTCAAGGTATGACTGTAAATAGTCCAATGAGCATGGCATACAGAAATGGTGCAGTGTAAACAGACCCATTTCACTTAATTAGTGATTGAATAAGAGTCTAGTAAAACTATTTGCTTTATAACAACATCAAATACGCTTAAGTATTGCTATAAAGTCATATTCCTATCACAGAGTTTTCTGATTATTACTGTCTAATTCACAGTGACCTGATGATAAGGTTCTTCGCAAAAATCTTTGGATATGTTAGGTATGTGTCTAAATGTCTTTAAAATACAAAAAAAAATCCGATGTTAGCCATCTTGTATTTTTTAATTTTTAAGAAATCCGACCTCAGCAATCTTGTATTTTAACCTTTAAAAAAACAGACCTCAGAAATCTTGTATTTTAAACTTGAAAAAATCAGACCTCAGCAATCTTGTATTTTAGACTTTAAAAAATCAGACCTCAGCAATCTTGTATTTTAACCTTTAAAAAATCAGACCTCAGAAATCTTGTATTTTAACCTTTAAAAAATCAGACCTCAGCAATCTTGTATTTTAGACTTTAAAAAATCAGACCTCAGCAATCTTGTATTTTAAACTTTAAAAAATCAGACCTCAGCAATCTTGTATTTTAACCTTTAAAAAATCAGACCTCAGAAATCTTGTATTTTAACCTTTAAAAAATCAGACCTCAGCAATCTTGTATTTTAGACTTTAAGAAATCCGACCTCAGCAATCTTGTATTTTAACCTTTAAAAAAACAGACCTCAGAAATCTTGTATTTTAAACTTGAAAAAATCAGACCTCAGCAATCTTGTATTTTAGACTTTAAGAAATCCGACCTCAGCAATCTTGTATTTTAACCTTTAAAAAAACAGACCTCAGAAATCTTGTATTTTAAACTTGAAAAAATCAGACCTCAGCAATCTTGTATTTTAAACTTTAAAAAATCAGACCTCAGCAATCTTGTAATTTAAACTTTAAAAAATCAGACCTCAGCAATCTTGTAATTTAAACTTTAAAAAATTAGACCTCAGCAATCTTCTATTTTAAACATTAAAAATCAGACTTCAGCAATCTTGTAATTTAAACTTTAAAAATGAGACTTCAGAGATGACGATATATTGATGTTCAATATATCTATTCTTCAGTATCATCAATGATAAAACAGCCAAGAGCTATTTTCCACCTAATTGCTTTATACTTGTACTGTTAATATAATCATCAATTTTGTGATTGTAAACTCTATCTGTATACAGATACATTTTTTTTAGCAATAAACTTTATCTTATCTTATCTTATCTTAACTGTCAACTGTCCATAATGCAGTTTTATTTAATTAAAATTGATTTATTTTAAACAAGTCATCGATTTTCTTTCGCCACATTTGTATATAATTTATATTTTTTAATATTTTTTAACTAATTTTGTTTTGAATTTGATTATATGTCGCTTGCGCAACCATCTAAGAATGCCGCGCACCACTCACATTTTTCGAAATCCGTTAAAAACGTTTTCTAAAAAAAATAAAATATAAAAAACTATATACAAATGTGGCGAAAGATAATCGACGACTATAGGTTGTAATATCTGAATTTGTTTGAATATATATATATATTTGTAGCATGCTTTATGTAATAAATATAGTATTATCTCTCATATCTTTGCCTCCTGTATATATATGCTTCGTTATAGTTCTAGTTCATTGACTGTATTATCGGTCAACTAACTTTTACCTGTTCCTTTAGACCCCAAATATAGTTAGTTGTAATTAGACTCTGAATGATTGAATCAATCGTTAATCATTAATCTATATTTATATGTGTAGATACCATATAACAATATAAATCTATACAATTACATTCATCAAATTACATTTATTCTAAATATACATCAATTACACATCAATATATTCAAGTAATTTGATAAAATTAAAAAATTATCAAATATGTTTACTTAACTTCAAAATAGTATTTTGTACATATTATTTGTAAAGAGTGGGCCTCGTGAAAACTTTCGAATAGAAAGTTGATGTAATAATAAAAAAACAAATAGTAGCTTCAAAACCAACTTATTCAGTAAAATGGGTTTGTGCAGAAAGTGTCCAACGAGTCCCACGTATCATGACAGTTGGTGAATAGTTTTGAATGTCTTCTTCCA